GACATTGTGCTTTCCATAGCATGTTTTTGAAATACAATCGTGCTTTGCATTGCCTTTTTCAGAATGTTTTCTAGAAGTCTAACCAATGGATGGTTTGAAGAACCATCAGCTTCAGATCTCTGACCTTGAGTTCTTTTATCAGCTTGCCCAAGCTGATGATCTGTTCTTCCACAGTGCGAGGGATTACAGTTTTGTCTATCCCCTAGTCCCCACCCCAGACACCCAACGATAGTCCCAGAGCATGTGGTCTATTGGAAGTGATGTTCAAAGCTGTTGCTGAGGTGCATGTTTATCAAAGCGCATGTGATGAGGGTCTTCAGGAGTTGGTGGCTGTTGTACTGTGCTGACCAACTGTAGCAAAGAAGCAGAGGTACCTGAAATTAAGCGCAGAGTATATAGCTGTGGGGAAGAAACAAGGTGATGTAACCAGTAAAGCATGGAATGTAACAACTGTACTAAGGGAAAAAAAAGGAGGGGAGGATTCTGCATTTTTTGTCTTAAATCGTTAATCACTTTTCCTTCTGAGCCAAAGGTTATTTTTTTTTAATTTGCATTGCAAGATAAAAACATTACGTTTTTGAAACAGTCACTAAATGTCACGTTTACAGAAATGTGCTGAAGACACATATATACAATATTGTATTGTAATTGTAGTCATAATATGAACTAAATCCACTGTGATATAATTCTGATGGAGCCAAAACAAAAATTTCCTGATTATGAAATGCAGGAAGAAATAAGAGTAATGCAAACTATCTTGTTTCTTTCATCCTAGCCTTCTGGCTCTGCATTCTTGATAGCGAATGCTATGTAATTTGTGATAGTGTCCCACTATGGAATGATACTCACACTTAAAAGACAAACAGTCCAAAAAAGTTTTTGGTCTTCTTCTAAAATTATCTTTTATTTTTATCTGTATTCTAAACAAAATGCAGGGCCTCAGTCAAAGTCCGCAGAACACTGTGTGAATCTTTCAGTGGATACCATGGGTTTATCAGACCTTTAGTCCTACAAAACCAAGAACTATTACTTCTGGCACATAACTTTGGAATTTTCACCATAAGTGGAGAAGTTGCAGAAATCCACAGGTGAAACTCTGCTGTTTGCAGAATGTCATATTGAATGCTAATTTTCCTATTATGAAAAAGACAAGAATATGCTTAATGCATAAGCCTACTGGTTTTTATATTTAAGTTTTTAAAAAGTTTGAAAAAATCAGAATCTGTTTTTCATTTAACTTTTTACTCTAATTCAGTTGTTTATCAGAAGGGTTTTTAGAGGGAAAGCCCCCTCTAATGCCTGCCCCCTCCCAAATGATCTTGAAAAAGTCTTTTAGAATTCTCTGTAGAATATTAATACTGTTTAAAACAAACAAACAAACAAAAAAAAAACACCAACAATTGATATTTCGTGTTATACATTATTTACACGTGTGGAAGGCAGCAGTGAGTAACTTTGGGGAATTCCTGTCATTGAGTCTGTGAAAATTAATTTGACTGTAGAGCCAAGGATCATGAGAAGGGATGGAATGGAAATTAATGCCATCTCCATCCATTACTCTGTGGTTTTCAGTAGTATTCTCTTGTGTCCAAAAAGCGCCTGGAGCAAGGGAATTTCCATTTCTTATACACAGTTACACATATTCTGAGATAGATTCTTATGCTATGCAGGTAATTTAAAACATCTAAATGCATTAAATCAATTAAGAAGCACTGTAGCCTGCATGTAAACCTACCCACCTATCTATTTCATCTTTATTTCACTGCATATCTCTTCAGTTTTCTGCACAAAAGGCTTTACTGGCAAATCTCTGTTGGATTGGCAATGTAGACCTACTACCCTTGTTTAGACTACTTTTTAATTGCTTGTTCTTACTTTCTTTCTTCTGAGAGTAATAGAAGAGCACCTCTTTGAACCTCTTTGAGTGCTCCTTTTGTCTCAGCTGTCATTGTAATGTGTGAACTATTGATAAGAGCATTTAGGAACTGAATTCCTTTCCCTTGTCCTTACTCCACCTTATTAACAGGCTCCAATGTATATGTCTTTCCCTGCAGATGAAATGGGCACAAACATAAATATAGACAGCACCTTTCAGCTACATCTAGACAGCTTAAAGCTATTGCGAGTGTTTGTGTGTCTGCCCTGAGCATCTGCTTTTCCCGCCCTATTCACATCTAATGATTGTACGTAAGTTTTCATCCTAAAGTCTTGCTTATTCTTAGAGGACAAGATTACAAGGTATATGAGCTTATATTGTTTGCTAGATTATTGCTCATCTCTAAGGCTTAAGACAATTTACTATAGCTGTTACTGCTGAGTGCTGGCAACTTAAATAACCAAAACTTTTCTGGAGAAGAAATTTTAATAAAAAATACTTCAATTGGATTCCTTATTATTTTCTTAAGAGCTGGTAGTTTTGTTCATGGGAAAAACAAAACAAGACAATAATACTTAGTATTTGATGAAAGGGTCTTCTCAAAATTTATTTTTTGAACATCACACCATAGCCAAGGTTCTTTTATGTGGATCTTTGTGGCATGTGAGATCTTGAAAGAGCTAACAAAGTAGAAGTAATGTCTGATAGAGATCTTTGCATATGTAAGAATTTGTATATGTCTTCTAGGTAAATTTGGAACAGATGTTGTTCGTTAATTTATTACCTACTGTGATTTAGCATGAGCTAGTAATTTGAGGGACTCCCAGGTGTGCACTGCTACAAAAAGCAGTACACTGGTCAGAACTTGTTAGTCATGGTATCCTCCTACGAATTATAACCTATCCTGTTCCATCCTGTTTTTTTTTCTTTCTTTCTTTTTCTTAAATATATGCAGTTCTTTGCAAAAGGATACATGCTTTGTGCACACAATCCTAACAGCTGTATGCGAAATTGTAATAATGCTTATTCCATGTTAGTTTATATACTAGGGTATTTATACATATTATTTTATAAACTTGTACACAGCCATCTTTCTTGCTTGTACATATTTTCATTTGTAATTCTCTGGTTGTGTATTTCTGTATTTCACATTATGGCGAACTTACCAAGAATCAAATTCTGAAAGCTCTCTAGCAGATTTAACTTGCCATTCCCTTTTTCATTAATTGACTTCTTGTGTATTTTTTCAGTTTAGGATTTTGAAAACAAAGTCTACAATTTTGTGCTAATAAGAGCTTCTAATTTTTTTGAAAATACAATTCCTTGATACTACAGGCTTCAATGGGAAAATACCCCAATAGCTGGGCAAAATCAGGTATAAGACAATATTTTTCATTGTAATGGGAGCCCTGAACTTAATGCTGTGCAACCTGAATGGATCTTGATTTTTCCCAAATTCTTTAGCAATTAGGTCATAGCCTCTGATTCACTGCACTTAATACTTTTTCTTTGTGAAATACCATTACTCTTCAGCTTGAGATTTATAAGAATGAAGATTTAGTGGTAATTCTAAGTTTAGCAGTAAGCACAGGGTGAACAACTAGAACATTAATTCTCTACTGAGTTGCAGTGATCTTTCAAAAACCTGAGTTGCAGTTTGCATGCATTAAAAAAAAAAAAAAAAAGCCTTTCACAGTGTTCTGCATCAGTTCAACATGTTTTAATACGTACTTCTCTAGAATTATCATCTGATTATCTCTGAGGGCTCAGTTGTCCCAGAGCTTAAATGATATTCATACATAGGATTACTTCAAACAAATGAAATACTTTTCCTCTTAGTTTTTCATTTCTTTTATTCTGTGTAAATAGTTCTAATGAGGAAGATATACTTGTAAATTTTGCTCTATCATGTATTTAGTTTGCTAAAAGACCTAAACGTATTCTCTGGATAGTAATCATTACCGATGGTGCTGCAAAGAGTCCTGTATGTTGGTTCAGGCAGTTGTAGACAGAGGTTCATTTGTTATTCGAGTTTATACCAGCAAAGTGTAATTTCACTTTGGACAAAATGGCTTTGAACATGGCCTCAGAAGCAGAATATGTTTGTGGAGTAACATTTGGAACAAAGTTTCCAGCTTCAAATCAGAAGGCTAAGTGCTGTATTAATCAAAGCCCGAAAATTGTTGTTTATTGTCTCAATCTGTTGTCTGTATGCATGGATGGATGTGAGTACATTCAGTGAGGATAGTATTTATTATCTAGATTAGAGGGTTTTAAGTAATCTTTGTTCTGAGAAGGTGCGTTTATGAAGTGCCAGTGGACTTTATGATCATAAGTCTTAGGGGAATTCATGAGGGCTTGTAGTGTCTACATAGAACTTCTTTCTTCCTTTTTATCTGCTTGGCTACCTAGATAGAAGATGAGAGGTCTGTAGTCTGTAAGATCGTATAAATCTTTTGAAGCAAGTATTAAACAGAAAAAAATAACTGGGCTTTACTCATGTTAATGTCTGAATGATGACTGATCTTTGAATCTGGTATTTTTTTTGTTATTTATTACAAAATTTAGAATGGCAAATTGCAACGACTTTGTAAAGTGAGACTATTTGCTAACCAAGGATCCAAGTGTAAATAATAGAGCACATGGTGTGGTTTTCATGGTGTTACTAGTAATATGAGTTACTCTATACTGAAGATAAATGGAGCTATAAAGGTATGTTCTTTATGTCCTACTTTAATTTAGATTTCTCTTTGTTTAGCTTCCTCTACGTTCAGTTTTAGTGGAGGTTAGCTAACATCACTAATCATCACAAGCATTTGTTGCAGGTTGGAACCAGAGTCTTGTGGTCTAGAAATAGTTCTTGTCTCTCCTATCTAGCACAGGAAAGGTTAGCTCTGGTGTGGACAGCACTTCGTAAGCAGTGAACTCAATATTCAGAAGGTCTGAGTAGAAAGTAAAACACTGTGGAAGCATTTAACATAGTGTGAGTGGAAGAGTATACTGAATTTGCTGTTTGACTTTTCTGTTGTTCTTTTCTTGCTCTTGTTCATACTTCATGTGTCTGCAATAATGCACAACCATGACTGTTACTTAGGGATTATGAAAAGCTCTTTTTTTTTTGCAGATCATCCGGTGAATGAGTTTTTGGATCTGTTCAGTCGCCACATTCTTCCTCATGCAGTAGATGAACCCCATACTGATGCAGAATCATCTCAGACTGAACCCTGTACTTCAGACTCTGTGCAGGATTCATCTGAATATATAATATTGGATCCTTTCTTTCCAAACTTTATGGACTTTGAAGAGGAGGAAGAAGACTGTGAAAATACTACTGATGTTACAACTCCTCCAGCTTTGCAATTCATCAACGGAAAGCAACAAGTGACAAGTGCACCTAAAAGTACAAAAGCTGAGGAAGCAAGAAGTGATCAAATTGAAAGTGTCGCACATTCAAAAAATGTAACCTTTTCACAAATCAATGAAACAAATACCTTTATAATATCTGAAACTGAAGCTTCTGGTACAATGCAGCCAAGCAAAGCTGGAGAAGTAATGGGGGCATTTGAAGTCACACAACCGACAGCAGATGTTGCAATGTTAGAACCAGTATATAGTGGTGAATCAGAAGTTACCACAACAGACAAATATTTAGAGTTCACTTCTATGTATGAGCAGTCACCACAAAAAAATAAGGAGACTGTAATGTGGCATGGATCTGAGGAGAGTTCTACCAAAGACACAAAAAATTTGCTTTTGATTGATAGTGAATCTTCTGGAGATGGCTCCACTGAATCTGATTTGTCTAGGTCTGTGTTCACAGAAATTGTGACAATGTCAAGTCATGAAGATAATGAAAAATTTTCTGGTACAACTTCTGTTCCTAGTGCCATTTCTGTGGAAAGTTCTGCAGTAACTGCTGCTCCAAGTGCAGGTTTTGATACTGCTACTGTAGGCATAGCTGTGAAAGACTTTATTCCAAAAGATGGGACCACCACTCCGGGAAATTACTATAAATCAACTATTAAACTTGATGCAGAGTACCCTTTTGAAAGCAACGTGGAAGCAACAACTCATGCAACAAAGACTGAGATGAGTGCTTCTTCTTTTCTAGATCTAGAAGGTTCTGGGGATGTAGAAGAGAACAGCACTTTAGCTTCAGCCACAACAGAAACAGCAGTTGCAGAAACACTTTCAGTGCAAGATATTTCTCTGGGTTCTGGCACATTACTGCCAACAGAAATTTCTGTAAGCATTTCAGAAATCACCTCTGCTTTGCCTGGAGGAGGAAGAAATCTTTATTCTACTTTTGATCAAAGTTCTGAAGCAACTGTTTCCACCACTTTTGTGTCTGAATTAATTACGGAGCAACTAGTTGGCAGCTCTGTTGCAACTGAAAAGAAAGTTGAAGATGAAAAAGAATTACAGACTACTGTTTATTCAAGTCAGGAAATTTCAGCCACTGCTGCAAATGGAAAATCAGAACTGGGTGAGCTTGGAAGCACTACTAATGAAGTCAGAACTGTAAGTCAGGAACAGATCCCTCTCAGAAAAACAGTACCAGTAACAGGTACCATGCATTCTGAAATCAAAAAGGTTACCACCTCTCCTTTCTTGAGAGAAAAGAAGCTTTTTGTAAATGAAGGATCAGCTGAAGAACCAGCAGACTTATTTTCAGGGAGTCCAACAAGAAAAGTGGTAAGTACTGACTCCCCGTTTACTGATTCAGGTTCTGGAGACATAGATGTTATCATTGAGTCTGCTGCTTTGACTTCAGTTCCATCAAGGTCTATCATGGAAACACAAACAGTAAGACATGAAGGAAATATTTATGTCATCAATGTTTCACTGAAGAATGCCACAACAGAATATGAAGAGCACATAGGAAGAAGTGAACCAGCAACATCAGTTTCAAGTACTGGGTCAGATGGCTTAACAAAGGATTCTGAAGTAGCAATTCAGATGTCTGAGAATGTCTTTAGTAAAGAAAACCAAGGAGAACAAACACAAGAAGCAGAACCAACTCACACAGCTCCTTCTGACAATAAACCAAGACTTGGTTCTAGAAGAGAGGTAACATCTCATGTTGCACCAGTAATTAGAACAAAGGATTTACAAAGAGCTGAAGTCACGTCATCTCCAGAATCAGTTGTTAATAACAGTACTCTTGACACCATGGTGACATATGATGGCATAAAAGCAGTAACCGAGTCTACAGAAAGCAAAAAGGGAAAAGGTAGCTTTTCAACCGTTTCTTTGGGTAAAATTCTAATGATTGAGCATGGCTCTGGAGAAGAACTCAAAGCTGACAGCAGCACCACAAAACTAATGTCTAATGAACCTACGGAAAAAGTGCATTTTTCACTTTTTGATCAGGGATCTGGAGAAGCAGAAACTTTAACTGAATCATTTACAAAAGCATCAGTTTTACCCACTGGAAAACCAGAACCACAAGAGCAGTATGACAGAAAAGCTGTCAGCATGCCATCTGCTGTGGTTCATGCCTTCACTGCTGAACCTAATGAGCTAGTCACAAATCCTGAATATGACATCACCATTTTGCGAACTGTAACTGATACAAAAATGGAAGAGAAAACAGCTAATGAGCTGACAGTGACATCTTTTGCTACAAATCTTCCTGTGTCAGAAGATGTGCAATCATGGCAAGACAGACCAAGCGAAATTTCAACAAAAGCAATAGAATCTTCTGGAGAAGCAATGGAGGATCCATTCTTCAGAAGTACACAGGCTAACCATGAACATGTGGAATTTTTAGATGTTCCTACTATCAGACCATATTCAGAAGAAAACAAAGTAGAAGCTGAATCTGGTGAAAAAATATTGTTGCCATTTAATAATGACAGAGTTACTGAGTCTGCAATAATTGAAAGGAAATACTTAACTTCTCCTGTTGAAGGTACGGAGGAAGAGGAGAAGTTGGTACAAAATATTTTTCCCACAGAAGATATTCCCAGATTACTCCTGACACCTAAAGAAGAAAAACCAACAAACAATGATCTCATCAGTGATCCATTATTTTCAGGACAAGGATCGGGAGATGAGTTTACTGTTATTTCTTCAGTGGAGTCACTGGCTGTCAAAGAAACCACAAATACTTTAAGTCCTCAGTCTTTTCTTCCTGCAAGTGTAGGACCCAAACTTTCCACTGACATGACACAAGTCTTTGAAAATGGAAGCACTGAATCAAATGCTGAAATTAATGGAGAAATTAGAACTACTGCAGCAGAGCTGCTGACAGAAACTGCATACTCAATGGCCACCAGTTCCCCAGCTTTAGAAGAAGAGAGTTCCAATCGCTCCAACTCTAAAGACAAAGAGATAACACATTATTTTGTTGTGATTGAAGAACCTTACAATAAGGAAATGGACCATAGGAGGGGAGAAGATGAAACAAACAGGCCAGTAGCTACTCCTGGAGATGTTTCTCATGAGGAATCTTCACATATGGTGGCTACAGATGACATAACTCCTGTTTCTGTAATACTGAGTGAAACTCCTTATCTTGAAATGGGAAAATCTCTTTCAACCTCAGCAACAAAAATGCCAAGCAGAATATTTCCTGAAAGTTCTGGAGAGGGATCTGGTCAGGATGGTGTTTCAGATTCATTTCCCCCTGATGCATTTACTCATTTTACAATACCTCCTGTGACAGAAGTCGAACTAACTGCTTCATCTCAGGTTCCTGAGGAAATTTATCCTAAAGTTATGACAACAGATGCACCAGGAGATGGATCACAGACTGTGATCACAGGATTAGGTTCACTTTTTACAGAAGAAAAAGAGATTGTGGCAAATCAAACTGCTGCTGATCCAAAGACAGCTACATCAGAAGAGCTGACAAGTGATACTGGGATGTCACTGGATATTATTCCAGTGGTTGATGATAGAAGACATCTTACACTGAATGTTTCTGTTTATGGTGATATTACACTAATTGAAGAACGACTTCAAATCCCATCAGAAAAAACAACTATTATAGACATGGATCACTCCAAGTCAATGCCTGAAGATATAATAAGTGTGCAGACAACGCCAAATCTCGCCATACAGTCAACGTATGGCAGTGATGATAGCATGAAAGCTGAAGAGGATAAGTATGATTCAACACTTAATTTTTCTATAATTGAAGAGAATATATCTAGATCTGGTGATAATCTTTCTTTGACTACTTCCATTCAGCCAAATAGTGAATCGGTGACAGCTGGACATGGACCAAAATTAGTAGACAAGGATGTAGGTTCAGGGTATGCTATGCAGTTTGCAACAGAAACTCTCACAACTACCATACTCAATGAACTGGGAATTTTCCTTCCAACAGTACCCGCGCTGGTAAGCCCCCATATGCCTCATGACTCTAAAGAATCTGAGTTCGAGGCCAAACATGTTGGAAGCACAAGCAGTGCAGATGATATGCATGAGCTTTATACTTCAGCAAACAACCAAATAGTAACAGATCAAAGTGAAACAATGTCTGTTACTGGGTTTTCTGGAATGGGCCAAGAAGAATCAGGTGATAAAAAGCCTGTGGTTCCTTCCCTCACACCAGATTTGTCTATGGAGACAGAAGAGGCTTTGACAACTGACACATTTGATGTAAGTATGGTCACCACACAGAGTATGTCCCAACATGCAACTGTATCATCTAGCAGTAGTGAAGAAAAGCACTCTACAGTATATGTACAAACAAAATCAGCGTCAGCAGCAGAGTATGAAGAAACAGACTCAGTAAGTTTAAATTCTGTTTCTCAAAATCCCAAATCCTCGGTAACTGTTCAGTTAGTTAACGGAGTATCTGAATATCCTGAGGTAATCATTCCAAGTACATCATCTGCAAAGGATTCAGATCAGTCTGATCACTCATCAGATGGAACTTTCAAAGAGGTTAGTTCTGATATTGCAGCAACTTATAAACCACCCACAACAGACCTAGATACAACAGAGTCTTCTCTGATAGAGTTTTCTTCTGAGCCTGAATCAGAAAGCATAACTACTGAAAGTACTCTTCACTTTAATAAACTTGTAACAGAGAGGTCAGAGGAGACAGAATCTTCTGTAAATGATCTGATTACTGAGGAAAATGCTACTGTTTCTGGAGATTCTCCATCAATAGGTGACTACCCTACTGCTTTTCTGAATTTTGGAGAAAGAACAAGCACAGATATTCCAAAACTTAGCACCATAGAAGTTGAATTTTCTTCAGAGAGAGTGAAAAATCCCAGTCAAGAAAGTGATAGGAGTACTGAGAGAGAGACACCAAGGCTTTCATCCACACCTGCTTCAGATTCACCTGACAGTATAGAAGTTGGAGTATTTAAACCTGACCAGGAAACAGTTACAATGCTAACTTCATCTTTAGAGCCTTTGGACAGAAGCTTCGAAACACAGTCAGCTTTGCTTGGTCGACAGGAGATCACAACAGTTTCTTCTAACATTGCAACAAACAATGCAGCCCCTGGAAATAATCCTTATTCAAATGAACAGTCAACAATAAGCTCTGAGGAGCTAAATACTATTGAACTTGTAACTTCATCATTTTCTCTTCCGGAAGTCACTAATGGATCAGATTTCCTGATTGGCACAAGTATGGGTTCGGTTGAAGGCACAGCAGTGCAAATTCCAGGTAACTTCCACATATGATCACTGTTATATATATTTGTTATGATAATTGTAAATGAATGTCTTAACTCTGATAAGAGGTATGGCAATGAAATACAACAGAACTCATGACCCTCAAGCCTGACATCAGTATGATGGTAAACTCTACTGTGATAAAATGAAGGAGGATGGGAGACCAACACTCAAGTCAGTGACATTTCCTGAGTGTTTGCATCGTGAAGCTCTGGATCAGACTTGGGCTGCCCAGCAAGTTCTAAAAGTCAGGATGATAACACTGATTGTGATAGAGAATTCAGCTGTGATTATTCATTTTTCCAGTTTTCTATGAAGATATATGCAGTTATTTTATTTGATAGCTGTTCTGTGTTTGCATGATGATAGCACTTATACAACTGGTTTACAGGTAGGATTTTCAGAGTATTATTACTTTGCAGAGCAGATCTAGCTGCATTTTAAGTACTGGAATTTTCCATTAAAAATATATTTTCTTAATCTACAAGGTAATTTTCCAAGAAGAAACTGAGGCTTCATGAATTCAGTTTATCTGTAGCTTACCTAGTTAATAAAGCATCTATCTTTCATAAATTATAAATCTTCTTGTTAGACATAATTTGCTATAATATTTTGGTTTACATTAATGGTTATTAGGCACCATTTAATCAAATACACAGATGGTGCAGGTAGGATCTTTATGAGGAGTATAACTTCAATTTATTTTATCTAGATATAGCTGAAGAAGGAAAAAGGCAAGTTTAAAATTACATAGCTTTCTATTATATATCTTCAGATAATCCAGGTAGCTATGAATTTGAACATGTTTACCAGAAAATTATCTGTAGATAAACACATGCACAGTGAAAATAGGTGCTTAACATTGGTCTGCTTTTTGGATTTAGACATAAGCAGTCCTAAAAGAACTCTATTTTAAGATTATTAGATTCTTTTGAAAACCTCTGGAGCAAGAGTCTGCCAACTTACTTACATGCCCAAACTTATAAAGGGGGATTTTCTCTTGGAGGCTTTAAACAGAACTTAGTTTACCTCCAGCGAGTAGATAGGGAATTTGGTACCTTAAGAACACTGCTTCCATAAAAATTTTACCTGAAAGGGTAAAACAGATGTTATCTTTTATTTTACAAAGAATAGCCAAACCACTTTGGGAAAATGTAACCAAAATATAAAGTTTTTTCCTGTCTTTGAATCAACTTAGATGACAAAACTCTTACCCATTTTGTAAGTTAGGTCTTTATTCTTGTATCCCAAAAGGGTTGTCTTAATAATTTTCCTCTAATGCTGAGAAGTGGATATGAATCGTTGTCTATTGAACTTTTGTGTGAGTGATTGCTCCTAGGCATTAAATCAATTGCAAATACCTAGGTATTTAAGCTTAATTGAAATACACATCACTAGAAGTCACCTTTGCAAGAAAAATCTATTTAAATGATAACTCCCGTAAAACCAGAGGATTTCACAGCAGGTAAGCTTTTATCTTAATGTTTAGTTCAGCTATGAATGTACTCAGTACCTTTATTTGTATTCTTGAAGTGTGGTTTAAGGAAAGGTGAGAAATGTACATGAATGAAAACATACTTTCAAAGAAATAAGAATCTGTGTGCACTGATCGTTTGAATATAATGAAATGAACCATCAACAGGCAGGCAGTATATTCAAGAGATATATGTTCTGTGTACCCAGTCATTCTACATAAACTAACCCTGTTCAAAAAAAGCAAAAGCATTTTCCATTCATTTTGCTTATGTTTAACTATTTTCAGCTATAATTAATTGTCGTGTCATGCTGACTAAATCCTCAGTAGATCATTGTGACTGCCAAATGTAGTACAGATTCTGAAAATTATTTATGTTGGTTCACAGTGAATGCCATGTAATTTTTGAAGTTGTAAATAGTGATGCCTGAAAATGAACTTTATTATTTTACAAAAGTATCTTAATATTCTATCTTATTATTGTAGTTTCTGTAACAATAGTAGGTCTTGCAATATCAGTACAAAAATGAAGAAAGATTTATTTTTCCAAAAATTCGAAAAGATATCAGCACTTTGAGACCACAGGGTAAACTTTATTTTTCTACTTAACAGGACAAGATCCATGCAAAAGTAATCCCTGCCTTAATGGTGGTACCTGCTATCCACGTGGTTCATTTTACATTTGTACATGTTTGCCAGGTTTCAATGGTGAGCAGTGTGAATTAGGTAAGTTGATGTCATCAAGATACTGGATTGTCTTTAGATTAATTTAAGTATAAAGTTTTCATACATGAGATTTGCAAAAGTAGGGTTTTTTTGTTTTTTTTTTAAGTTGAAGAAAACATGAGCATATGAAAATATTCTGCAGTAAAGCCTTACTTAAGATAAGAACACAAATAGGTCCACTGTCCCCTTTTCTCTCTGCCTGTAGTGTGCACAAGCATGTGCACACACAAATGTAAGTGAATTATAACTGAATCACCTAGAAGCACAAACATTAAATTCCTAAATACATTAAGTAAAATCAGTTTATTCAGGATAATTCCTTAAAAGCATCGTATAATTATATTAAAGAGTGGTAAAATAGCCGAGACCCAAATATAACCATTGAATGTTAGCTGGTATTTTTTCAAGAAAATTTTAAGTATGACCATAATCAGATGCATTTCTGGTAAAGGTTAGTATTTTAATAACTCTTTTAGCAGAGGATCTCTTCAAACTGCTTGTGACACCTGGATTTCTGTGCTATGAACTTGGGTTGAGAAACTCACCCATACAGTTCAGGATAAACAGTTTTTCCTTTCTTTTCCTTTCAAACCAACAAGCCAAATTACGATGAAACTAGCAGTGTGGCTATTTTGTATACAACTTTTGCACAAGTTTAGTCTTTGGAAAAGTTTTTAATTTAATTCCCTGATCAGTATCATGGGTTTGTTTGTCATCCACTGAATATGAAAGAAAAAAACCTTATGCAATATTGCTAAAATGAATTCCACTTATAATATACTGGGGAGAAAAAAAGACAAAGATTGATATCAGTGCAGAACAATTATCAGGACTACTGTGGTTTCATTTGTTTTCTGCAAGAAGATAGATGATTAAAAAAATACTTAGCCAGTATTTTTCCTGGCTTACATGGATGAAATTTGTAGTTCATTAGTGGGTTGTTGCTGCTAGAAGTCTCAGTTTAGATACTGCATCTTAGATGTTTCTCTTTGTCAAGGAATCCCCTGGTTACCAGCCAAAGATCAGAGAATATATTTTTTTCCTTTCATTTGAGATTTGTGAAGATATTTGAGGTTTCCAGTGTTTGATGAGAATTTTTTTGTGTGATGGTCACAAATCCAGGCAAAATTCTCTACTGATAGTGGTCCTGCTGTGCAAGATAACTTCTTTCTCAGCTATACAATGCACTGCTGAATATTTACAAATTAAAGCAGGAGTGCAGGATTCTTGGATCAGTAAAGTCACATTTACTGAAGAACCTGCTTCTTGCTTTTGGGATGAAGAGAAAGGAAATGTGTATGAAATCAGCTGTCATGCAAATAAAACCACTCTCTTGGATCTTTCGCAATACTTCATTTTTTTGGTGTGAACTTGTCCAAGTAATAATTATGAATAAGGCAGAATAACATTTCCCTTCTGATAGCTGAGTGAATTATAAAAACATTTTTATCTGTATGTTGTAGATATTGATGAATGCCAGTCTAACCCATGCCGCAATGGAGCCACATGTATAGATGGTCTCAATACTTTTACTTGCCTGTGTCTACCAAGCTATATCGGTGCTCTCTGTGAGCAAGGTAAGATATGCTTTTAAATCTAGAATGACTTAAGTCTTGTGTATGTGGCTGTGAAAGAGGAAAAATTCTGTCATGTTTTCCATGAGAACTTAAGTGAGTTGAAGTGCCGGAAGTCATGCTTATATACGTTTCTTCTTAATCATAAAATTGGAAAAGACCTTTAAGATCATCGAGTCCAACCACCACCTAACCATACCTAACTCTAACAGCCCTCCACTAAATCGTGGCCTTGAGCACCACATACAAATGGTTTTTAAACACATCCCTGGATGGTGACTCAGCCACTGCCCTGGGGAATCTATTCCAGCGCTTAACAACCCTTTCTGTAAAGAAGTGTTTCCTCATATCCAACCTAAACTTATCCTGTTGCATCTTGAGGCCATTTCCGCTCGTTCTGTCACCTGTCACCAGTGAGAAGAGATTGGCCCCTCCCTCGCTGTAAGCGCCTTCCAGATACTGGTGCAAAGAGAGAGTAAGGTCTCCCCTCAACCTCTTCTTCCCCAGACTAAGCAGCCCCAGTACCTTCAGTCTCTCCTCATAGGGCATATTTTCCAAGCCCTTCACAAGCTTTATTGCCTTCTTTGGACCTGCTCCACCATCTCATTGTCCTTTCTGTACTGAGGTGCCCAAAAGTGAACATAATGCTCAAGGTGAGGCCTCACCAGTGCCGAGTACAGGGACAGGATTACTCTCCTAGTCCTGCTCACCACAACTTTCCTGATACAAGCCAGCATGCCACTGGTCTACTGGTCTTCTTGGCCACCTGGGCACGCTGCTGGCTCGTACTCAGCCAACTGTCCATTCTTGTTAAACTCAGAAGTTTATCCTTTCATCCTTTTTCCTCTTCTCTCACATTGTTATGCTACATATCTACCTTCAATATGAAGAGTAGAATGTCTTTATTTTGTCTTGTTTTGTTGTTGTTGTTATTTTTGTTATTGTTGTTTTCCAAGCAGTGGAGAAACATTTTAGAGAGATGAGTCATACCAGCAGGTACCTAAGACACTTCCAACTTTATACACCTATCTGTTTCCATTTAAATAGTCTTCTGGAATAGCTAGATTAAGGTAGCTTCTTCTAGTAGATAAAGGATTGAAGAAACTATTAAGATTTATAGGAAATCATAACTGTGAGATGGGTTTGTATTTTTTAGTCTGAACAAAATTTGAGTATGTTAGACTCCCATGATTTGTAGCTGAGGGCTCTTTGTTTAGCATTACATTTACACCATCTTTCTCAGATGGATGAGAGCAAACACTATCCACATGCTTAATCGATCAAAATTTGTACTATTGCTGTACTGAATGTTAACTGAAACTGGGATCCAAGGCAAACACATCCTGTTCAGATTGGCTTGCAGGCACAAAATCAGGTTATTTCACCACTGTAGAGATGACTTTGGGATAATGAATGGAACAAAATTTTACTGCCTTCTGAACTTTTGTTTTAAAGTAATTACATGTAGTGTGAAAGACATATCAGAACACATCACTTCAGACAGTTGTCACTTGAAAGTAGGAAATATCCCACTCAGTATACTAGATTATATATCAATTCTCTGAGGTTCATAACCTTGACATCTTCATCCCAAACTTTTCTATATTGATTCATTTGGTGTTGTTTTAGGAGAAGTATATTGCAGGACCACAATTACAAGTAAGTTTTAAAATTTTCTGAATGGGACAATTGAAATGAGATCAAACATCGGATTTTCTGTAACTGTTAGAACATTGCCTTGCAAGAAATGTTGTTGTATTTAAGAGAAATATCCATGCTGCAAGATATTTACTTAGTGTGTAGATATAGGAGTGCAATAGGGGTAGCAAAATCTGTTCTGTCGGTAAAATTAATGAAGACATCTCTATAGGAAAAAGAAGTGGGACCTTAAAATGTACTTTCTGAAGCTTATAAAAATATCTTTTTCTTCAGCTGAGTAGTTTCATTCACAGGAGAATGAACTGGACCTTTGGATTTGTGTAATTAATGCTGTGTCTTAACCCTTCAATGTGCTACCAATTTTCAGGCTTGTGTTTCATATTCAGTGAGTGGAAGGCAGTTTGAAAACTCTTCCAGTTCAACCTATAGAGATGTTTCTTAGAGTTTAAACCTCTTGAAGCTGACTGGTTCCAGGACTTTTCACTGTTGAATTTTTTCAGTAGTCTGCCCAACCTTGTGATTTGAAAGGAATTCTGAATTTGCTCTTAAAAATTGTGAGTTGTCAATATTCTCGCAACAAAAGAAAGAAGTGTTTTTGTTCCTCTCCTTCTTTCTACCTTTAATTTCAGCAAACGCATAGTAGTGATGGGCTATGAGTACCATGGTAGCTTTCAGCTGCTTTTTATGACTAACCTGAGAGTGCATTTTAGGTGGTTAATGGGAACATTTCCTAGTTTGTCAATCAGAACCAGAGCCCTGCTCACTCAGCTTTGGAATTTAAATTTCCTCCACTTAAAGTCCTGCAGTGGTTTGAGACTTGGGAAAATTGTTCAGTGCCAAATTTCCACTCCACCAGACAAAATAAAACCGTGTTGGCAATTGAGATGCAGTTGTCTGGCAAGCAGGCTTTATTTCAGGGCACCAGTCCTGACCTCACTAGATTTAAAGGCCAGCCAGAACAACAGAGTATGTACCTCAGTGCCACAGGAAAGGTGGAGTTGAGCACACTAAGATTATATTTCATTACTTTTTCTTTTTTTTCTTCAGTATATACTATTCATTTTAGAGATCCTCAGAAAAAGTGAAGTTGAAGGGCTTTCTTAGACATGGTGCTGAGTATTCAAAATATGATGGAAGTGAGAGGAAGAAATGAATGCACGTTGCTTCTGAAAACCAAATTCAAAATGAGACTTTTTTAGGATAGTGGATTTCCAGCTGACATAAAGCCCCACAGTTTTAAGTGTGTGCCAACTTTTGGAAATGTGACGTAGGGATAAACCCAGGAGCTCCAGCAGGTGGTAGAAGCTGGGGAGCCTTCAGGGTGATCTAACCCAGAGTGAAAGAATCGGTTCTGAGAACCAGTGAGCTGTAACTGGCTCTGTGACAGACATTTTTCTTGCCAGGTGGAAGCGGTTCAGCAGACAATCCAAGCCCGGGAACTTCTTCCTGAAGAGAGCTAAAGTTGTCTGATGTTAGAAATAGAGCAACTGAGGGTGTTTCCTTTTTAAACTAGATTTGTAGGTCAGCATGCCAGCATTTCTTCTGAATCAGACTAGATCAAAGTGGAGTGGAGGACCTCTGCTAGAAAATACTCTCTTTTTCCATCACATGCATGTTTTCAAAGCACAGCATGCCACTTGCTGACATTTGCATGTCATTTCCTAAATGCAGAAATATCCAGAAAAGGTTTTTCAAAGGATGACTGCAGACTGAAGTAGACCTCGGTATGAGCCTTATCCCAGGGGAGCCAGTGGTCATTGCCTTGGCATCCTTCTGTGGAAAGACCTTCTGAGAACTTCCAGCATCTGCATAAATGAGGTCAGAGCTCAGAGCATCCCAATTCCTCTTCCCAGAGTGTTGCTTCACACACTCCATGGCTGAGAAAGGAGGAGAGGGGACAAGCTAGGTATCTTGCACACATTTTGTGGAATGAATGCCAGAGAAGATGTACAGTGCAGCACTTCAATGCATGCAACTGTTGATTCAGTATTTAGCTGCTCATATTTAGGATGAGGGGAACATATTTCATGTTTACATTGGAAACAACAGAATGGTAGAGAATTACAATTTGAGCGGCAGCATCAAGAGTAATTGGGTAGACGAGCATGTACTTCTACCTTCCTTTTCCTTCCTTGAATGGCTTGAGTTACCTTCACTTTTTGTTGCCCCCTCTACTTGTTATTCTCTCTGTTATCTACCTGCTTTCAAGGCATGTTGTTTGCATTTCAGACTCAAACTTTGGTTTTCTCCACTGCCAGGATCCCTGCAGGCACACCTAGCTAAGTCTGTTTACCAAATGCAGCTGCACGCGTGGCCCAGTGTTTTGTAATGATGCCTTTGTGTTTGTTGCTGGACATGCCTCCTTGGGATGCTATAGCCAGCTGGTCTGTATTCCAGGTTCTGAAAGCAAAACAGCTTTTTTCTTTATAATTGTATCAGGAACAATGTGTTGTTGTTTGTTTTTGAAAATGTTGAAAATGTACTTATCATGCCTGCCTGTGTATTAAATGAACAGATTTAATACATTTTTTTAATGCAGTCTTTAGAGATGTTGTTACATGTATACAATTGCAGTTGCAAAGAGCAGGAGCTGTGTGGGTGTCTCCTTGCACACATCACTGGAGCCTGTAAGTTGTAATAAATCCTGAGGCTTACTCAGACAACTTTTAAAATACCGTAAATTTAGCACACAGTTTATCAGTCTTTCCATCATATTGTGGAGCAAGGTTGCAGAAAACTGTGATTACAACCCAGAATAAGTATATAATGAAAATGCAGTATTGTATTCTGTAGTATGATTTATGATTTATGCTCAGGCCATTTATATCTCATTCTTTGAGCCTGATCTTTTAGTCTTTTCTTCAAGACTCCTTATCTCCCATTCAACCTTTCTGCAGACCTTCTCTCAAACTGTGAAGCTCCTCCTGTGCTGGAGCCAGACTAGCACAGCCCTGATCCGCTCTCGCTCTCCAGCCACAGTATTCTCAACATGCAACACATGCCTTGTTGTTATCTGGCTTCTTTCCTGTGGGACAGGATTGTCCCTGAACAAGATGAATAATAAAAGCTGAAGTGCCTTCAGAGAGTACACGGCACTGTTAGTCAGCAATGTGTGGTTAAAAAAACGTTCAAGGAGCCAAAGGCAGACTAAACTTTGAAATGGCCTAGATCCCAGAGATTACAGCCTGCACCTCCTACAGAATGCAAAGCAGAAAACACCAAAAACTAACAAGTTGATAATATAGATTACATCTCTTTTTCATATCTGGTATTAGCCAAAGCACAAGCAGCTTTCTGTAGCTTAGCTTATTGAAAATAGAAAAGAGGTAACAAGCGTAAGCTGTATTATGCCTTCATATTCAGTATATCCATGTGATGACCTAAAACAAGATTTTGATATGAGATTCATAAGACAATAATTGTTTTGTTACTGACGTTGCCAAGAGCTGACAGGGAAAGCCTCTGAAGTTATATGTTTGCACATATCCATTCATATATTTTAAAGTTTAGTTTTTGTCTCAGAAGATTAAAAAAGGCAAAAAACTTCCAAAAAATTGACATATTCATGCTTCAGGATGTAAGCAGCATCTTCCTTCTGTGAATTAAGAATCAGCCTTCTGTTGTGATTTGTTTTTCCAAAACTGACTCAGTGGTAGCAGCTCAAACCTGAGAAATATCATAGTTAAATTATACGCAGACATATGTTATTGGCTATTCTATAGTATTTGGCTTTTTCCTAAAAAAGTGCAAAGAGTCCTTCAGGCCAGAGAATCTTACTAACAATTATCTGTATTACTTAACTGAAAACAAGAGATCAGATTCATACTCACAATGCATGTATAACACTGGAAAGGCAAGATGGTTGCTTTCAGATAAGGCTTTGTTTGGTCATTGATACAAGACCTTCTGGGAAGTCACAAATTCCTGTTTGGAGATTAAACAGAAGCTTTTGTTTCCATTATCATCATGCAGCTGAGGTTCTTCAGGATGAGTAGCGTGGCTTAGTTTGCTGGAACCAGCTGTAGTCAGAACACACCATAACCTTGTGCCACCAAAAAGTGTCCTTTTTGGTGCCACTTTACCCACCACTGCTCAAAATAATCCTAAGATTTCTCTGAAGTTTGTCCCATTCCTCTCTAAAGCTCTCTCAATGACAGATTCTTCCCATTATCAAGCACAGATCAGACTAACCCAGGCATCATATTTGTTATTGCGTGTCTTATTAATGCTGAGATACATCTGTGATTCATTCCTACAGTGCTGGTCCAGAAGCAGACTTGGGATGGAAATCTTGTTCTTTACCATATTCTCCGTATTCTGATTGCATTTGCCTACCCTTGACAAAGCAATTAATATCAAATCCAGAGATTGTTCTGAGGATCATGTTTATTTCTCTTTATATAAAAGGAAATATTGGCTGATATGAACTTTTGACTATTACGTATTCTTATCAGCATCGTCCCTCATATGAGTACTGGCAGTGTACATTAGTTTGTATTTCAGCTTTATAGCCTTCTTTTGAAACTGATGCCTAAAGCTCATTAATTGATAGTTTATCAAGGAAGATGGGTTTTTGTGAAGGATTTGGAGAAGTAAAATCAGAAAGGTAATACTGCAACTTTGCATCTGTGGACTGAACAACAGTAAGAACTTTCCTGTATGATTATTTTCCATTATTAGTTTCTTCCAAACCAAGGTAATTCAGTGCAGTCATTCACAGAACTATTTGCCCTTACAAATAAAAATCCTAATCCTCACATACAGACTCAGAAAGTTCAGATGATATATAGACTGACTGCAATGTAGCATAAAGGCATTTCGTTCACCCTGAGTAATGGAGTAAAAATGCCCTTGTAGAATTGTCGGTGTACAGCATAATTCAATCAGCAGGTCACAGTTACCAGTTATGGGTATATTCCTTACACAAATAATATACTTGAAGCTTACACTGAAGTAGGTAGACAAAACAAATTGAATGAGTACTCAAGGATGAGTGCTCATTGCTTGTGTTCATACCTCTTTACAGATAGTGGATATCTTCACCTTGTGCTTGCAAAAAATCCATCCATGTAAAACATTTATATTTCACACCCATTATCAGAATTGTGGTTTGTTTATTTGTCACAGACACAGAGACTTGTGATTATGGTTGGCACAAGTTCCAAGGACAGTGCTACAAATACTTTGCCCACCGACGTACCTGGGATACGGCCGAGAGAGAATGCCGCCTACAAGGGGCCCATTTGACAAGCATTTTATCCCATGAGGAACAAGTCTTTGTGAACCGTACGTATGTTATCATCTCTCTAAACAAGTGCAGGATTCACAATGTATCCTCCTGTTTGTTCAGCGTTTGCATTTCCATGTTAAAATGCACTAAGAGTGTTTAAAAGATGCACTTCATTTTCCTGGTGTTTACTTCTGCCATGTGATGTTCCTATCTCTACTAAACTACGATTTGTTACGAAGAGTATTTTCATTTGTTGAGGAAGTGAATGAGACACAGAGTTCTGGCATTGAAAATAATGAAACTTTTTTCTGGTGGCTTTACATTTCTTGTTCAAATAACATGATTGCCATCATATTAGGTGGGCATAAAGGGTTCCTGTGTCCAAATGCTGCACAATCTGGACTTTGGTCACAGTCTACAGTCTAAATAAAACTTTAAAAATGTAGACTTAAATACACTGCTTTTTTCAGTGTGGTTTCCTGATATGTGCACTGATAGGAAACAAATCTGTTTTCTTTGGGGGATGTAGTCCGGAGAGAAGAGGCAAGATTGTTTAAAAATGTTAGATGAGAATCTGTTTTTATTATAGATATCTCAAATTAAAATTAAAAAAAAAAAAGTTGAAAATAAAAATCAGCTGAAAATAACTGTAAATAGTTGTTTGCATAGGTATTAGAAGAATCTTAAGAACAGGATGTCTGATTCATTCTGAGCAAATTCTTTTAATTTTCTTTGATGAAATCACTGCCATTTATGGGAAAGTTAATAAAAATATCCTGCTGGTTCTTTTCCCATTAGGTATTGGGCATGACTACCAGTGGATTGGCCTCAATGACAAAATGTTTGAGCGTGACTTCCGCTGGACTGATGGTAGCCCACTGGTAAGATGCCTTTAAAATGAAATCACTCACTCAGCTTTTTGTGGTGTTTTATCAAGTTCCCACCAGAACTGAGAGAAGTTGCATGAAAAACATCTAGTCGCTAAATACACATCCAAGCAAACAACCAGCACACCATCTTGTTTTGGGATAATTACTATTTTGTGGTGTAGTTCTAAAATCTTATTTCTTATTGTTTTACATGTTGGACTCCCAGAGTTTCCAAAGAGAAAAACTCTTAGACTTTTTGTCTAAGACCATTACTTAAGTATACTTCTCAAATGGAGAAGAATTCGTGATCTTCAGCTCTTACATTATGACATATAGCAATTCACCTTTCTTCCTTACATATACAGAGCAGAATGCTTTTTTTTTTTTTTGGATGAAGGTATGGCATACAAACCCTTATATTGGCTGGATCTTTGAGAATGCATGAAGAAGCCTCTCAAGTTTTCTTGGAGGCTGTCCTAGTCTGTGTGGCAGTTGTGCAGCTAGGCTGGGGAAATACCATCCTTAGGTGGTTTAGGAGGTCTTTAATTGATTATCTGTCCATAAACGTTTAAGTTGCTGTTGATACAACTTGTTACCTTAAAAAAAAAAGGAAAATCAGCAGAAAGAGAGGGAAAACACTTTCTGCTCACCTTTAGCTAACCTAGATCAAAGAGACCTGCTCGAAACAGGAAATAGTGGAGCTCTTTCCACCAGAACAGGGATAGTTGTATTAATGCTGTTTACTATCCACTGAATTATGTGTATTTATATGTATATTTGTACATGTATATATGTATGTATATACACAGACACACATACAAGAATATACAGAAGTGGTTCGCTTTTCATTTCCTTTCCAGTTGTGAATTCTTCTTAAAGAAGAAAGCATCTGGACTTCAGGTTACACATGTGCACATACTCACATGTGTACATAATTACATGTGTACTTTACTGCATTCTGTGTGGCTACAGCTTATGTAGACAGGCACCTGGAACAGGCTTCACTTATTGCCATTTCATGTAAATAGCCAAAGGTTTAAAGTTCTTTAAATGACTTACAAATGAGCCATTTCTTGGGAAACTACCGTGGGAGGTGCCAATATGGGGAAAAAAGAAGGAAGATGATAAGTTTTCTTGTGCACTTGGTTGCTTGGTGACTCTTTGGTCAAACAAATGTGCCCATTTGTGCTTGGAGCCACATAATTTTTCAGGATGTGAGTGGAGGAGCTTCTTTTTATCACTTTCTCTTAATTCTCCTCATGTATTTTTGAAAGCAAAAGATGGACCGTAGCCTCAAACTTTATTCATGCTAGATGAGTTAATTCTGTTTCTCCTAATGTGGCTTCTCATACCTTGCTAACAGCAACAGGCATACACTGAAGATGGTTTAACTGACATCACTACTTTCTATTGCTAGTGATTTGTTACTTCCCTATTAATTAACAGAAATAATGACATAATCAACAGTATTCATTAAATGTAATCCCCTGATGTTGACCTAAAATTCCAATGAATTTCAATACTATAGTTCAAAAATCTACATCATTTATGTATTTGCAGCTGAAAAGCAGTCATGATAGTATTAATTTACAATCTTAAAAATAAGCATTAATTCTTAAAAACTCATATTCTGTTACGAATTTCTGAGTAGAGGTTGTTGCATATATTAAAACTTACATATATCAGAGTGCATCTGTAATTTGGCTGTTTTTATTTTGGTAGCCCAGTTCCTCTCCAAGAGAATATTTTCTATCCAATTCTATTCAGGGATTCTATTCAAGACTTCTAACTTAGTAGAAAATTTGCCAAATCTGCTGGGTATTCCCCTGACATAAAGAGTTTCTCTACTATCAAAATCACAACACAAACTTCTAGATAGTTCATATAAAAGTAGCTCACATTCATTTTTATTTTGATACGTGTTTATATACTATGATAATAGCTTAGCTTAATTTGAAAATCATACTGAAGTGGTTTCTAAGCTTTTGGGTTAAAAAAAAAGTTGTGATATTTAGTAGATTAAAAAAACAGGAGCAAATGAATAACGCTACCAACAGCAAGACACATTATGGATTAACTTATTGGCCCACTGCTGCAACTGACCTAGTACTGCCCAGATTAAATAGCTGTGAAAAGTGTTTATACAAAAATTTATGATTTGTCTTTCATTTAATTTTTCTTTCTGAGCCAAATTAAAGGAGTCATTACAACTGGAACTGAGAATCACTGAATGACAGACTTTACTATTGGACAGTATGAAATAAGGCTTGGATTATTTTGTTACACTTCTTCTGTGGACATAAGGAACCCACAACTCAAATATTCAGCATGTTGAAAGGAAGTTTTACCAGGTGTTTGCATACAGCTCATTAACAATTTCTGGAAAAAGGGTCAAATGCTTTTTTAACATTTGCACCTACAGGATATTTCAACCAATGAATTCAGTTGAAGGAAATCAGTCACTTTTTTAATGTTTTCAGCTCAAAACCATGCTGTGTGTTTTTCCAGAATTTTTAAACTGAAACTAAATGCCAGCCACTATTATTTATGACCATCAGACAAAAGCAGATATATGAATTCCTTATTGAAAACCAGCAAACATACATCCAAATGCACTGTGCATCATTTCTATCTATAGTGTGCTCTTGAATACACACCTCAGCTACTTTTTGTGGACTTCACAGTCATATCAAACATTGGCTTTAAATCGTGTGCTATTTAACTCCATCAGCTCCCAAAATACTATTTTTTTTTTTCAGCATAGCCTTCTTATACAATCATATGAGATGAGTACTGAAATGCTGCAGCTATAGGACTAGAGAGAGAGTGATGAGTTTTTCTTTATCATTAGTCTAGTAATATGAAAAGGCTTAGATTCTCTGATGTGGTTGTGGAAATTTCCCCTCCCTAATGAATCAATGGATAACAGTTTTGCTGGTCAACTAAGAAAGGGCCTTTAAGTTTTCTATGAGATCCGTTCATGCCACTTCAGTCAGATGGGAGATTTGTTTTTAATTCCTTAAGGAGAATATGACCAAGGCTTTTAAAGAGTGAACATATATAATTAAGCTTCTTACCGGGAAACCATAACTGAAGCTAGGGTAGCAGAACAGGTTCATGGTCATATTGAAAACAGGGGCAATTATTTAGGTGCCTAATAATCAACTAACTATTGTTAGACACTTTGAGTATCTTAGCGTTCTTGTAATTCCCTACAGAAAGTGTTGACAGTCAACCATCAAAAAGAGTAGCAGTGCATTAAGCCCACCTATTCCTATGCTTATTTTTCATCTGTCAAGTGGAATTTGTATCTAACTTGCAAAAATAATACCAGTAAGCATATTTTGGAAAAAATGAAGAGTAATCCTGTAAAAGCACTGTCTGATTCTCAGAGTTACTCAGGACACAAAGAAGATGTTTTCAGTAATGAAGCATGTCCAATCAAATTCAATGAGAAAGCAAGTAGTAGTGTTTATAGCATCAGAAACATTAGAACTCTTTTTCAGTCCACAGGACATTTTTCTATGTCTGTGCTGCTGAATATATTTGTTTGACTGTACTGACATTACACACTGAAAACATCAAGATGTTTTCTTTAAGGAGAACTGTTAGGAGAAGGAAAATTTTCTCAACAAAATAGAAACATACATAGTCATAATTCATCGTATTGTGTGGCTCTGTTCCTGCAAACAGAATGTGGGAAGACTTTGATGTACCTCACCGAATCATTTGGTACATATTTATCTATGTGCTTTTAGTGAATTTTGGCAGATTTTAGGTCTTTGTTGTAAAGTAGCTTTTAATGTTAAACTGCTCAGCAGTTTCCTTTCTTTTAGGCAAAATAGCACAGTGTTATGCACTGGATTTACTTGTCTAAATAAAATCTTACTATTTCCTTGTAAAAACACCTGTTAACATGCTGTTCCCAATACATCTGAAACACAAACTGGGCTTGAAAACTGCCAAATAACATGAGTAAAGTAGCTAGGTAATACGTTTTACACCCTATAGTTCAGTTGGTAGTCTAGACTTTACTTTTCCATAAACAGATTACTTTCTAGGTAACTAATACTACATTATATGGGATTTTATTAGCCAGGACATATTTCATTTGTAATTGTCTATTTTTTTTTATAACTGTTCTATAAGACATAATTGGGAGCTTCTTAGATGACGTAAGTGCACATCATCAAAGGAGCTCCAGGGCTAAGCCTAGGGTATCCTGCCCAATATGTAAACCAAAATGAACTGATTTCAGTGAACTGTGAAAGCTATTGCTGGCCACCTGTAGTTGTTGTAGTTGTTAGTTTGTTCTAATTGTTGCACTGTATCAGTACGGCAGTAAGCAATCTTTTATCATCTTCAGTATCCATTTCTCATAGAAAGAATTTTCCAACATTTCCAATGGCTAAGAAAGTTGGATTTGTGTTCTGAAGCTAACTGCTACATGAAAAGCACTTCAGCACTATTTCTTCTGTTTCAGTGTTCCCAAGGTGCTGATTGCCACTGTGTGAGTGCAACACAAAATGTTCATGTTCTTTCAGGAAACCAAAGTTGAACTTGTGGTGCAAGTTCAGCTTTCACCACAATGATTGCAGAAAGTTAGTGGCCATGGCTGTAGATCTGGAACATTGGTAGCACACCAGATAACCTGGGCCACTAAGAAGGAAAACTGGGCCTACTAAGACCTGCCTGCCTAGATCCCAGCTTCCAAACATCTAATCTTACCAGTACCCCCCTATTCCTAGGGCTTTATTATTCATTTCTTCTTCAAAATCAAGCAAATTTTTGTTCAGGACATTTCAGATATGATTGCACTGACAGATGGAAGAGCAGAAGGAAATAATAGAATGTTACAGAGCATGTTTTGTTTGCTCTGCTTTCATTCTTTCGCAGTGTGGTTATGTGCTCTTGGTATTTGATGTTGAAAGGCCTTAGTTTTACTCCAATTCGTAGTTTACAAGGGAATCAAAATACATGTATAAGAGTTTATTTACATAAAATATTTTATT